CTCCGCATCTTGCTCTACAAACGTAACGATCGATAGCAACATCAAGACTGTTCGACAATTCAGAACAAATTCACCGATCCGCAATATCTTTCTTTTGTTTAGATACGCTTTTCATCTGCTCGGAGGTGCGCTCTAGCTGCTCAGAGACGGTCTTCAATTGCTCGGATAAGGTGCCCTTTGGTACTCCAGGTCCCTCACGTTTGATTCAGCAAGATCCCTTTCGCGCTGGGCCCTTTGCACGTTATTCTCCATCAGTTTCATCGCCTCCTTCAGCTTCTCGTTCTCCTCGGCGAGGGGTTCCATCCTTTTGATCAACTGCTACCGTTGTATGACAGTTCATGCTATGCCCTGCAAAGCACCAAGATTATAAAGGACCATAGTCTCCAATGCCAAAGACGGACACCACTGATGCAATACTAACCTCAATTTACTTCATAGCTGTGGAAAGGGTGGACCGTAGCCTCTTCACCTCCCTAGTGGTGTCCTCCTCTTCCACAACCACAACTTCATCCCCTCGCTTGCGGAAGATGCAGACGGTTTGAGTTCGTGATCCTTCACGCTCAATCTCCTCGACCACGTCCTCTTCCTCCATAGCTAGTGGCGCTCCCTGGGGGCTCGGTGGCCGCACAAAGCGACCGACCACACCCTGCGGCGTCTCAAGGCACGTCGCTTGCTCCTTCGACACTGCCGGCCTCTGCGCCCCAGAATCCGGCACAACGTCGACAGCTCCCGCCTCCGCCCTCGAAGACTCAGCGGCTTTCGTTGTTGCTCCTGGCGTCTCTGTCGAATCGCCCGCCGTCGTCGCCAACCGCTCTCCATCTCCAACTCCATCAGCAGCGGTGGTCGGATCCTCCGCAAACCGACGAGCGCCCGAGGACTCTGGGACGAAGTCTGTTCGCAATGTCTCCACCCTGGGACCAGCCCCTGGCTGCTCGCCAGTCTGACCTGAAGGATTCAGATCCTTAGTGCGCCCATTCTACATCAGATTAGCTCATCGGTCACCGCAACTATAAAATCAGATAGCTACCGATCCCAAGGCAAAGATACTTACATATCAGTTTCCCGGTAGACGGTTCTGAATCGACGCTGCCTCCCCGAGCACCCAGGCAATGCTTTGGGGTCAGCCCGCGTGTCCTAGGCTGAAGGTCTTGCGGCCCTCGCTGTCGATGTCTTCTTTACCTGCTGCTCGGGGACTCCTTCCCTCCCTTAGATTGCACCACCGCGCGCGTGTTGCGCGATGACGCCTCAGTGCTTGGAGGAGGAGCTACTAGAGCCTCGTCGTCGTCCAACCACTCGAATATCGCCGTGCTCAGCATTCGAGCGGTCCGATCGCCACCAAATGAGATGCCGCCCAGCTTGCGGGGAGCTACATCCGCCGTTCTTCTCTTCTTTCAGGCCGCCTCATCTTTCGCCGCCCTTTTCCCCCACACTTTCTCCGATACCGGGGGGGACTCTCCTTCTGACCAGCACCTTCGCCTCCGGATTCGGACGAGGTGCTGACAGCACTTTCCTCTGGCTGAGTGGTTAGCCTGGCATCCACGGCCTTTGGCCAATCACTCCTCGACACGTCCGAGAAGTACTCCACCTATTCCTGCCAATGGATCTTTCCACAAGCGAATCAATCCACTCATCAGCGCCGGCATGGGATAAAAAGCACCAGGAACAATAGTCGAGATTTTTACCTAAGGTGGATTCGTGTAGTTGAAGGGTTTCGGCTGCCCCGGCACGGTGTATGACACGTTTGGAACAAATAGTTCAGCTGCCCGGTGCAACACAGCCTCCTTCGCCAGGTTCCCCGTCCTCTCCCAAGTGCCATCGGTATCTCCTTTGAAATCAAAGCCCGCGTAGGCCCTCTCCTTACAGGATTGGACGCGGCGCGGTATGAAGTTCACTGCCACCACCACTCCGCTCATCTTCATGCCCCTTATTAGCTTGAGGAGCTCCTTCACCTGTTCCATATCGGCACTGGTCGGCTTCTCTGACCAGCTCCTTTGATTCTCTGGAATCTGGTCGACATCGCATCGGATGGCAGGATGACTCTGCTTCATATAGAACCACCTGGTATTCCACCCCTTCAGCGAGGTATTCAGCGGCATAGGAATGTATTCACCCGCCATCCCGTCGTGGAGCTACAGATACACACCACCGACAACTTTGGAACCGCCCCCTCCTTTCTTCTTCAGCCAGAAAAAGTGTCAGAAGAGATTGAAAGGGAGAAGAATGCCAAGATAGACCTCGCAGAAGTGAATAAACACAGAAATATGCAAAATAGTGTTCGGATGAAAATTACACAAGCTCACTCCCCAATACTCCAACAGATCCCGCAAGAAAGGAAGTACCGAAAGTCCTAATCCACGCCAGAAATAAGCTTCGAAGATAATGAGTTCGTCAGTCTGTGGCATCGAATAGGGCTCACTGTCGGCCGGACGCCATCCGGCGATAGCACGATCAGGAAGAATGCCCACCTCCACCATCTCATTGAGCTCTGTCTCCCCCATGAGTGACGGTACCCATTCCTTGTCATAGCTCGCCATGGTGGCCACCTTCTTCGCGTTACCACCTCCCCTCTTCGGTGCCATCCCTCAGATCTAGATCGGAACTATTCCCTTTACGCAAGCTTTTTAGCCCTAGCGGCGGAGTGCGTGTGAATGCAAATGGGGAGTGCCAGGGTGAGGAGGAAGACGAAGTGGCGGAGTGGCAAAGGTGGGAGCGTGGAGTGCGGCGATGCAGTTATGAAGACATCCTCTCAATTTTTTGCATTTAAGGGATTTTGGAAAACCGCACCATGCTGATTTGCGCCCTTCCGAATTCACCAAAGCAGCGTGTTGGGCCGTTATCTAGGCCTCTACGCAACCACGGCCCATATCGCCCACTTTTTGACGCAACTCGGTACTGCACACCGAATATTCGCCGATCTCTCCGCAATGCTATCAAGGCTCAGTAATTTCTACTGTACAGTCATTACTCTGATTTTTTCTCCACGATTCGAGTAATCGGCACTTCTTGATTTATCCGAGATTTTCACTTGTGGCTCGAGGACTACGTCATCATTGTGATTTGGTTTTTCACCATACTAGGGACTTTTTTGGTTAATGCTGTTTCTGACCCTAGCACCACGTGACCACGTCACCTACTATCAGGCTCGGAGACTAAGTGGGCACACTTCACCTTGCAGTGAATGTGCGCTTTTCATTTCAAGGCTCAGCCCATGGACTGGTTGCTTGCTCGGCTGGTCTTCTATCTTTCTTCTACTTTCTGGACCCTGGCACCACGTGACCACGTCACCTACTGTCAGGCTCGGGGACTAAGTGGGCACACTTCACCTTGCAGTGAGCGTGTTTTCTTTAATCTGGAAGACTCCATGCTGTCTGTAGTTGAAGCTGATTATCTCCCTTTCTCGTGGTCGGACTCTAAGTGGGCACATTTGGTTCACAGCGAGGAAATTTTCGATTTTGAACTTGAGCTCCTTACATCCTTCTGGCAAGCCTTACTTGGGTAAGCCCGTGCTCGGTTGGACATTTAAGCTGGTCGGTTATGGTCCACAACTGCTCGACGACTCATTAGAGTGGTCAAACTATGAGTCGGACTGCTCGACTTTGTTTACACCTGCTCGGACAAGCTCAAGACGGTGTTGCATAACGGATACAAGGCACTCGGGGACTATCTGTGGGGGATACGACCCTGAATACCCATAGCAGACTACATGGGTTGCGCCGCCAGGGGTGGTCCAGCCCACAAGACAAAGACTTATGGTGCACAGTACTGCTCGGCGTGTACAGCAAGATCTGTTAGGATATGCTCGATTCCGTGATTCCTGTAATCTATTATTACTTACTGGTTATCTCTTAGATCTAACCGACTTGTAACCCTACCCCCGGCTATATAAGATGGGTAGGGGACACCCTCAAAACACACGCAATATCATACGATAAGCAATACAAACCAACAGACCACAGGAGTAGGGTATTACATCGTGCTGATGGCCCGATCCTGTATAACTCTTGTGTCCTTGTTGTCTTCTTGTTCTTGATTACGCGCACCTCTGCCGATCAATCTACCTTTGTGGGATACCCCTCGGAGGACTGCCAACGATATTCTGTCGACACAGACCCTCCTGAGACAGCTTCATTCTCAGGTAGAATTACCTCAACAACTACACGTCGTCGAGCATCCTCTGCAAAGCGGCACGGCCACACAAATGTGTCACAAATTGGTGACAACAGGCAATACACAGCAGCAGAGTAGCAGACATAGACAATAACCTTCAGAGGAGGAAGAGTGGTGGCTCATCTTGATGCTTGAGGCCTCCCGCGTCCATCCTCCAGGCGTCGAGGAAGGAGCTCAAAGCGATAGAGCCTCAGAGGCGGGCGAAACTACTGGGTCCCAACAGGGGAGGAGACACGAGTGGGCGAAGGTCAGAGAGGTAGGCCGCAGGCGGAGGAGACGCTAGCGGAGGTGCCGACGGCTGCGAGAGAGCAGAGCCAGAGCGGGAGCTAGAAATGTGTCGAGCGGGAGCTAGAAATGTGCGGCGACTGCAACTCCTTCACTAGGTCACTCACTCACTCTTCTTCTTACCCTAATGGGCCAGCTAAAGGTGGGCCGAATTCCTTAGCTAGGCCGAAATCTCCCTACCCAACTAGTCGTCCAGCTAGTCTGATCGAACGACTAATCGTGATTAGTCGCAACTTATCGGACAATAAGGTTTCTAATTGGTCTAAACTAATCAAGGGCCCTTATCGAGCACCTAGTTACGATAAGGACGACTAATCACGATTAATCGCGATTAGTCGTCCGATCTGAAAACACTGGTGAGGCAATGCCTTAGTGGCTCAGTCTACTCCCCACTTTTCTTGCTCCGGAAATTCTCTCTCAATGCCGCAACCCTTTTTTTTGCACTGGACTACAGTTTTACCAAGGATAGCAGCAGCCACACGCTCCCATCTTTGGCTTGCATCCTTGGGAAAAGCCTTCAAAGCTTGGACTAGAGCCAGGACCTGTGCCTATGTCCAGGCATCTGGATCTAACACGGATAGTGCTCCATCTGGGATAGGATCAGCAACAGCTTTCCCATTGGCTGTTTGGCTACTCACAGGTTGTGCCGCAGACTTTGACGATGCAGTCCCAGATCCCTCAGTTGAGGAACTAATTTCATCTCGGGTCAAAAGAGGCGAAGCAATAGATTGGGCCAGTTTGCACTTCTCAAGGAAAGAGTCGAAAGCTTTCGATGAGTCTGGCTTCTGCAGAAGAACATTCTTCATGGCCTTGAGAATATCCTCAACCGATCTGCTAGTCCCAATAAATTCAGAAACAACCTCCCATATCCTCGAAGTTCCCTTAGGATACTTTTGGATTGCTTTCCTAAGCATCTCAATCTGTTCCTTTCCCCATGGTCTCTCTTTTTTTCATAGCTGTTCAATATGTCGCTATCGCTTTTACATCACTCTACCTCCTGTAGAGTTGGATTTTGGAGCAGTAACGCCCACACCATTTGCTTCAATTTTCGTTGCTTCCTTTGAGGAACTTTCATTGCGAAGTGCATTGCTCATAACTCTGGCCTTCAAATTTTGCATCCTTACCATCCATTCCATCACAGAGCTTCTTTAGTTGTTCCATATCAAGTGAAGCACATGTTGATTCAACATTTGCCTCGACAGACCAAAGTGGCTTTCTACAACCTCGATTGTTGCAAGAGTGCATAAACGAGTTTTCTCTTTCTTGAGCAGCTTCTTCTTCTTTCTCCTTTAGCTTCTTCGATGTAGAGCAGCTTCTGCAGCTTTCTTAGACTCTTCTTTCCTTATCCTTTCTTCTTCTTGAGCTTTTTTGTCGCTTCCTCTTCTTGTAATTTCTTTGCCAAATACTTCACCTCCTTTCTTTCTCTGTTTCTCGGCTTTCTCTCCTCTCTTTCCTCCTCTGGATCCTTGGGTCTTTCTTATAAGCATTGTGTCTACAAGTGTGCGCTTTTCACGCAGATATTCCGCCTTTTTGGCCTTCTCTTGTAGCTTTGCATTACGCCTCTCCATCCATCTCTTATGTTCACGAGATTCACCTTTGCTGCAAATCATACTCATCGTCATCTGAAATTCCTCCAACTCTTGAAGTTGTACCAGAAATTGTAGAACTTATCAACCTCCTCTACAGGAGTAGTGTCATCTCCAAGAGAAGGAATAGGTGAGCAGCAGACTAGCGTCCATTTCTCATGAAGGTGGGCGAAAACCTTGAAGAAGTCTTGTGGGGCACGATCTGTTGGGACATCATCATCAAACTCATATGTAGAGTCATAAATCCTTCTCTTTGTAGGGTCTATGAGGACTTCATAGGCCTCTGGATGGCCTTGAAATGGCTCTCTATCTCATCCTTTTTGCTTGTTTTGCCTCCTCTCTGTTGTCGCGCCGCAAGAATCGGGGCATCCCGCTTATCCGGATGATGTTTGAGAGCCATGTCATGGTAACTTTTCCGAATCTGATCTTCAGTGGCCAAGAACCTCAAGTGTCCCAACCCAAGTAATGCATAGTGATCCTGCTGTTGACTGCCAGATGACTTCTTCCCTTTGTTGCTAAAGGTATCAGAACCAGTGTTAAAATCTTGGCTTTTGTCATCCGATGAAACGCTGCAATCATCAGTTTCTATCTCTTCATGCTCCACAAGACCAAGAAGCTTCATTGCGCAGCATGGAACGAATGACCAGCAGGTTCATATTTCAAAGCTTTTACAGTGAGAGCAGTTTGATGAAACATACAAAGGCACTCCATCTACAGTCTCCTGGGAGTAAGTGATCAGAAGACAACTCTTCGGGACTCCATATGTCAATGATTTCAAATTATTAATTAATAAAGCTCTTGAGTCAAGATAAACTGATACAACCTGCAGAAATTAACAAGTCAATTAGCCAAATACTTAGCAAATTGGTTCCAAGTTGAAAAACAACATCTTTCGAAGTAGAAAATATACAACAATTAATTAGTAATCGGTGCAACCAAATGATGAACAAACATACAAATAAGAAGCTAAGTTCCATCACTCGGTTGACAATATGTAAAGTTTAATCTTTAGCATGCCATCTGCTATCTAAGTTGATTAAGTGGTAATACAAGTTGCATGCGATGCAAAGGCAACTTGGTAGCTAAAACAGCATAAATGCTACGTACTAGTATTCTGTATATTAAGGATTAATAATTAAGGTAAACCATCATAGCTTTTAAGCCCACTTGCTGCCACTGGAATATGAAACCTAGGACACTTCATAAAATGCAGCCCCCTTCCAGTTTGCAAGGCTACATAACCTGTAAATGTTCAACAAGTGCACAAACCCTGTTGTGCCTCGTTGTAATACATAACATAGAACATTTGGACAGAATGCATCACCTTTTTTCAAATCTTAAGGCTATACAACTCTTAATTGTTATAATGAGCAGACAGACCAATCGAAACGCCGACGAAAGGGCCTATAGTCTAGTGGTTACAAGAGCCTCAGTAGCACCTCAGGTCCTAGGTGGACTCCCATGGGAGCGAATTTTCTAGGATTTAACTGCGTTTGTGCTTTTAGTGGTAGGCGATGTTTCCGTCGACAGCAAGGCGCATGTGGTAACTTCGTCAATCTCGAGAATTTGCCGGCCCAATCTTCGACGATGCTCATAGGGGTAGGGTTTGCGTGCGTGCGTTCATGGGGGTGAGTGTGCGTGCGCTGTGAGTGGGTATACTGTGTAATCGCAAAAAAAAAGGAAGAAGAAGAAGAAGAAGGACCAACTGAAACACTGAGAATATGTAACAAAGGAAGGGGATTTGAACAAACAATCACTTTGCTCAATTTGGGATGTGTAACATAGGACATGTGAACAAATGCAGTACCTTTTTTCAATTCTTGTAAGGCTACAGAACTGTTAATTGTTTAACAATCCCCGGACAGAACAACTGAAGCCCTGGGAATATGTAACCAAGAATGGAGATTTGAACAAATGCAGTCCTTTTGTTCAATTTGCAAGGTCACGTAACACAAAATACTTCAACAAAGTGCAATCGAACCAGCGCCAATGATCTTAACTTACAAGCAGGTAAACAAATGCAACACGAAATGAGTACTCTGCACACAATCTAGAACTAATTAGAAGAGCATGGCATGCTAATCCTAAGAACCACAAAACAAGCCCAATAAGGCACAGGATGGGGTGGGTGGCCACCCGCTGCATACGCAGCCCCCTTTAATTCAAATTCATCAGGTATCACAGATGCCCATGGTGGAGGGCGTCATAAATTACGCATTCTCACTAATCAGATGGTGACTTAACCCCCTTCTCCCTAGAATAAATATCGAAGTCTCGAACATGGATTAGAACAGATGAAGGTCTGTTCGGGGCTTCCTTACTGAGAGAAGGACCAGGGCCGATGGATCTCCCTCCATTCCGCGCGTCGGTTCGTTGAAAGGAGGCGGCATGAGGGTCAGGGAGGTCACATGGAAAGGGAAGAGAGGACAGGGATGGCGGTGATGCGAAGGATCGGCCACGCAATGAGAGGGCTTCGGGGGTGGAGGCGATGGTTCTTGGGGTCGTGGCTCCAACCATAAAACCCTAGCAGCCGGCGATAAATAGAGGCGGCGGTGGGGAAGGGAAAGATGGCTTCCTTTTTCCAGGTGCCGCACGCTTCTTCTGCCCCTGACATCTCTCTCTGTTCGGCTGGGTGCTCCTATTGTTGGCACTTCTGGGCTTTGGAGTGATGGAGGGCCCAACTGTGACAGGTTAAGGCAACAACTAATTCTAGTAAATTTCATTGCCAGACTCCTGCATATTCGAGAAAATTTCATTGCCAGTCTGCTCAGGAAAGACAGTCCCACCTACAACGTGCATACATGACTGTGCAAACTTGTCTGGCTGAACATCCAGCAGTGGCGACAGGGATATAAACAGTGTTGCTGGCCTTTTAGACCAGGGTTTATTATCTTGTGTCACCTGCGGGATCTTGAGTTTTTCATGTGTGGCTGTGATCAAAGCAAGGGATTGTGTAGCAAAATGGACCTCACAATTATCTTCAACTATTAAGTTCAGTGGCTGATAAAATTCAGAGCTCAAACTTGAACACTACACAAAAATGGCAAATTTTAATTCAAATACATATATCCTGTTCTTCAGTGTTCAGAAGAAAAAAAAGCACAAAACTGATATGGGTGGATTCAGTTTTGCTCCAACTATTTTCAGATCAACATAAAATTGACAGTTGTTCAACTATTTTTTTAGAACAACATAAATTTTACAATGGTGGATTCAGTAGTCACAAAATTCAACTCTTTTCAGATGAACATAAAACTGACAGCGGCTCAACTCTTTTTTTAAATTTGACAGTTGTGGATTCAGTAGTCTCAAAAGAACTGGAGTTTCATGGGCCATGCTTTTATTTGTTTGGGGATTCGGTGGCTTGACCTTGCAGTTTGAGAGAGTTGCATAGAGTTTCAAAGGTTCCAGAGAGTGGCTTAACTCACCGGGGCAGCTTCAGAGGTTTCAGAAAGTTGCAGGCGACGAGGAAGACCATGGCACCTATGCGCTCGTCCGAGAGCAGTGCGCTCGTTTGGGAATGGCAGGCGATAGGCGGTGGCGCAGCACCGGCGCTAGGGCGAGGGCATGGACGGGCAACGCGCTGCATATGCGACGATTGGACGATGGTACACAGCACTGGGGAGCGGCGCAGCGGGACGCCAGGGCACGCCAGGCAGGAACGGCACAGCGTGCGCTACAAGGTGGCGCAGCGGCGGCGCTAGGGCGAGGGCGAGGGCGAGGACAGGCGGCGCGCTGGGGAGGAACTGAGGTGAGGTGGGGACAGCAACTACTCCAGCTAAACCGCAGGACACGACATCTGAAGCCCATGGGCCGAGACGCACCGATCGGGCTCGTCGTCCAAACAACAAAAACCTCCAGCCCAGAATGGGTTCATTCAGGGTTTTTTTTCTACTATGGGTTCATTCAGGTTGACAGTGCCTGCATGCCTATGAGCAACTCTAACAGCTTGGCTATTTGTTGTGGAGGATAAAAATTTAGGCTCCAATAGGCGCTATCTGCCTTTGTAAAATAGGAATCTATATCCTTGATTTTTAGTGGCCATATATAGCCAACCACGGAGGCTCGTTGTCTGATGTTGTAAAATAGCAAAACTGTGGTGGATCTCTTCTTTTTTGAAGTTTTCTATTTTACAAAATGGCTAATGATAAAATTTAGCTACTAATTTTAGCAAGTTGTTGGAGTTGCTCTGGCGGGTTTGATTCCCTAGTTCTAGCTCAGCTAGGTTGCCTTTATGCAAGATTTGCATGATTGGTTCGTTGTCTGGGCATGCCATGCAAGGAGCGTGCGCTGGCCTGGCTCCATATATGCGGAAAAATTCTGCGTTTCTTGCCATCCTAGCTCGGTGCTAATCCTAAAGTTGTTTCTACGGCCTGCATGATTCTGTCTCATGCCCCACTGGTGATAGCGATAGATGAGATCTAAAATGTTCATTGGATTTATCTTTATTAAATGGTTGAATGGTGATGAACTGTTTCTTTTATATAAGAGGGGTTCGGTTACTTGCAGTCATTGGTTTAGCATAAATTAATCATTGTTGACATCCTTTTGCCATTGACCGATATTTGTCTAAATAATGATACTCATCCTGAATGATAACCGATTCTTCTTACACAACCCCACGAGGTTTAACTGATTTATTCTTATGAATATGCTGGAATCGACTGTTTAGTCGATCTCCTTTCATATCGGCTCTCAGAGCCACACATTTGGGACTGTCTAGCAACACCGGCACGTTCCGCCCTAAATTACTGATAAACTTTCTCTTCTTGTCAATTGCAGGGTCAAATTGACTGGCACGTCTCGGGAGGAGTGTGCAGGATCGACCACCCCTACGTTGAAGCTAGGCGGATCTCTAGCTTCATCGAGCGGACCCTTCTGGCTTGCTCGTGTGCCCTCGGTACGGGACGAAATTTTGTGCCGACAAGTGGCCTACTCCGTGCCAACACCCGCGCACCGCGGTTTCACCCTCTTCTCTCACTGCACCGCGAGACCTGCTTGTCAGTCGCTCCCTTCCCCTTCCTTCTTCGTCGTTCTGGTGATGGCGCTTGCCATCCATGGCCGCTCGCCCGCCGCGCCCCCGAACCAGCCAAGGCAGGCATTCGAAATCCGTGGTGATGCCAAGCGATTGATGTCGCGCCTGTTTCCCCTTCTGTCGTGCCCCCGCTCACCTATAAATCCCATGGCCGAGCCCCCCCCCCCTCTCCCTTTCCGTTCACAACTCCGAGCTCATACTCCCCTCCCACAAGCTCACCGCTCTGGAGCTCGGTCACCGCTCCGTTTCTTCTGCGCCGTTCGATCACGGATAGACGACTCTGATTATATACCCCTTCGGGGTTAAGTAATCGGTCCACCATGGACCATGGACTCGCCGCACCGCGCCTGCGTCAGCGCGTCCACCACACACCTGGTGCACTGAGCCAATTTGCGCGTGCCGCGTGGCTCCCAGTCTACGGCAACGTGAGTCAACCTGCAGTCAGCCGCGCGCTTTTGCATTTTAGCCCCTGCATTTTTCGGAAATCAACCCGCGGTCCAACATTAGTTCAAAAGCCTTTATTTTTAGTCCTGTATTTATCTATTTTGTCCCCTGTACTTTTGGATAATAGTGCGCGCCATCCAGAA